AAAATGGTCTGCATATATTAGACAGAAAGTGCCAAGCCTTCATTTTTTAGTGCATGCGTTATTGTCGAAATCGAATTACTGAATTTTAGACAAACGAGAAATACTAAAATCTAATTTTACAATCAGTATTAAACCAAAATAAATTTAATCAATAACTGTGCACAGGCTTCTTTATTTCAATGATTGTCTATTTGATTCTTATCAGAAAATGTAAGCTTTTTCGACAGGTATATTTCATACTTTTCAATTCATTAAATAATTTTATGTTTTAAATGTGATAATTTTGTTACAACATCAACGTTTGCTGTAAAGATATAACCATACAAAGTATTTCTACATTGCAAAAATTACGATGCATAAATATTTTCTCAATGCAAATTTGCAATCAAATGACACCTGCTGCGAATCGGCAGTTTTTCGCATATGCACTTTCTAAATCAACACGAATCTAAATTAAGCTGTTTTTCAATTTATAAAACTGTTCCTTATATATTTCTTATGCAACTGTATTACGCAGAAATTATTTTATGATCGACTATACCATATTGCCAAATTATCCGCAAAGGTATCATTCTTCATTAAAATTGATTAGCCGTCACAGTTTATAAATAAAGCAGATTATCTTATTATTATGGATTATTTTCTCTGATGGTACTATATTTTCATATTAGGTGATCAATCATAAATATATATTCCAAACCGTTATGTTTCATTAGCCATTTCAAGATATTTTTACCAAGTTGTTACAGGATGTAGGAATATTATAACATTCGTATTCTAAGATTACTGATTTCCTTCTCTTACACTCACATATGAAGAAAATTTAATCTTCTTTAATAACAATTAAAGTTTTATTTATATCGGCGAGAAAGTTCCGTTGAAAGCAATCAATGATTTTGCTGCAAATCCGTTTTAGGATTCTGAATGTAAAAGTATAACAAAGGTTTCCAATATTTGGAAAACTTAAGCTATATAATTTTTTTAATTGAAATTATTAACATTTATTAACTTTATGCAGTTTGAAACGTTTTCAATAACTTTGTACTCTTTTTCCAATTACAAAAAGTTGAGTATTTTTTACACTTGAATGAAGAAATATAAAATATGCACATAAATAACAATACATACTTGAACATGAGCAGAATATTTTTGCCTCTACCATGCATTTCGCTATAAGTAAATATCCAGCATTGTTTTGTGAACAAAGTTTCTTAATTTTAAAATGTATTATAAATATTTTGGCTTTTTAATATCCATTTACTCATTTTGCATAGCTTTGCAAAAATAGTAAATTTTTCAAAAAATTATGGAATATTCTAGTAACATAATAATTTATTTTTTTAATAAAAAATTAATAGTATTATCGATGTTTTTAAAAAAAATCATTATTTTTTAAATACATATCTTCAAAATTTATTCTTTTTTGAGCTTGTAAAATTGACAGCGAGAGTGTCAATATCAAAAAAATATAAAATTAGTATGTTTTGCGACAACATATTATAAGACAGTGAGGCAGCAAATGCGCCTAATGTTTTTTTTTGACTAAGGTCATATTTATAATTAAAATAGAGTAATTTATCTCAGAGAAAGCTTCTTTGATTATCTATTATAAATATAGAAAGCTTTATTGTTAGAATCACAAACATTAATTTAGGTATAGGGGTACTCTGCCTTGAGGCAAGTTGCATGAAATATAAAATAGCAAATAAAAAAGTTAATTTAGTAAAAAAGCGATTATTCCAACTATGCTGATAAATATTTTTGATAAAATACCAGATCAAGGTTATATACAGTGCTACTTAATAATTAGAAAAATGTACCCATAAAATTTATATTCAGCATTGATTGAATAATGTAGCTATTATTTCGTGAAATTCCTTTAGAAACTGGAAACAAGATAATGGACCTGTTTACTCCCTGATCATCTAAATTTACCCCGCCATTGGGGTAAAAAGAACCAGATTACAGATTTTTATAGAAAAAAAAAACAAAAAACACATCTATAATGTTGAATTAGCTGGGAGTTTTACTGAACACAGTCAGATAGTCAGATAGTTGTTTGTTTGATATGCTTCTTTCTTACAATATATTTTTTCAAAGTTAAATTGGACCATTGTGCCCTGCTTTACTCTATAACTAATTAAAACAAATTAATTTTTTTCCAAAATTTTCAAGTGCGCTGTATATAGTCTCCAGTTAACATCTTTCTAGTTGCTTTTATTACTCAAATTTTATTATTGAAAATGCTAACTTCAATTATTTTATTATTCAATATTTATATTGTTTTAGTATTGAAATGGGTCAATACTCAATAATCATTTTTTTATAGTTTATTTGTTGACTTTGTATACACGTACATTAGTCATATACATTTTTAAGTTATCTACACAATTTTATTTTACTTGATTGTACATAATTATATAGCGCACCATATATTGATGATAATATAATAATAATAATTTGATTAATATAATTTTTATATAGCGAAGAAAATACACTTATGTATTCAAATTAAGGCTTAAATGTTTTGCCTGGATATGTGCCGGTATCAGTAATAATAATACCTACTAAAACCTTCGCTTTTCCCGTAATTACTTCATAAGCAGATATCTATAAATTAATACAATATATAGCTATTAACTTACTTTTCTTTAATTATTTTACCATATCAGGGCCAACACTTGATTTATTGGTCTAACAATTGATTTAATATCATTTACTATTCTGTGGTATAGGGTTATCATTATCATTATTTATCGCATGCAAAATGTATTTATCATTGAAAATGAACATCTCTTGGATATTATTTTAATTTTACCTCCATTTCCAGCCCACCTGAAACTGTCTCCATACATTTTGCATTGGGAACCTGCGGACTATGAACCTGTGCCAATAAAATCACACAGAAATGCCAGAGAGGTCAACGCATATGGACAGAGGCCGTTAAAATTTGCCTTTAGAGCTCATGGCAGGTAAGAACAACAAACTGCCACTTTAGACCATCTTTATTGTTTTAAATTATACCTTACCGTTTGCCAGACTTAGTTTTTGTAGTAGAAAATGAAATCTTTGCATTGGAAATAGATTTAATTATTTTAATGAACGCCGTCATATTTTCTGCAAGGTAAAATATTGGTAACAAATGATGTTTTTCAGTAATTATGGTGTATTATGCTATAATTGTGTGTGTAAAAACAGTATGATTAGTTATTATATATAATGCAAATTATATATTAGATTTAAATGCTAATTATTATAATGAAAATTGAATGAGGTTGAAATATTAATATAAATAAATAGCTACCAGTTGTCTACATAAACATAAATATAATCTTGTTGTACCATATTTATATATCTAAAGATTATCATTCTTTGAAACAAAATATTTATTAAATAACATAATTTTTAGTAAAATATTTAACTTCCCGAAGGAGAAGTATATGTTTTCATCAAAAAATTCGATTCGATAATTTTATGTTTTCTCGACGTTTCAAGCCATTCTGAATCGAACGAGACCTGGAAAAAGTATGTGTGTGTGTAAACAGATTTAAAAAATAACATAACTTTTAGTAAAATATTTTTTTAAAGAGTTCTTAACTATCCAGTATATATTATTTTAGATTTCAAATAGAATATTAGATACAACAAAAATTAAAATTTTACAATTACAATTTAATTCATCTTTTTCTTATATTCTATAAAGTACATGTTACTAGTTTACAAATGTTTCATTTAAAAATGATATTTTACTTTTACAGTTATTATTTATTTTCATTTTTTTTAATTTTGTGACGACCTACCTTATACATATTTATACCATAAATGATTTTATTTTAGAAAATAATTTTTAGATTAGGTAATGAGTATTAATGAAACTTTCATTTAAGCAATGTCACATGAATGATTAAATATAAAATGTAGCTAATAAAATTAAATTTAAAATTAATAAATTTAAATTTAAAATGTGACAAAAAACACTAAAAAATAATCTTAAAAAACAGCAAACTTCCAAAAAAAATTAGGCTAGTCTCAGAAGAGATTATTAATTCAAACTATTCTAATCATTTGATTTATCTTCTATAATATTTAAGTTTTTAAGTGAATTTATTTTATTTTTGGTGGTTTTGGTATGATTTTACGCTCAATTAATGCAAAAAATATTTTGGAGCAAAACCTACGTTTTTTTAAATTATAAGGACTATAGAGTGTATTATTAAAGTTTCCAATTCCATAGAATAATATATTTGTGAAGATAATTATATAGATTAGTAAAGATAATTATATAATTAATTATACATATAACATAGAATATTAAATTGTTTGTGTAAAAAAAGAATTTCAACTTATTTAAAAAAATGTTTTTGAACTTAAAATTCTGTAATATCCATACTTATTTTCAAAACCATTTTTATGTTTTGTTTTTTTCTACTTATGATTATTAGATTAAATTTTTTATATATTTTTAATAACTCAAATTATTCTTGCTTTTTTATATTAAATTAGCAGATGTATTATGCAAAGATTTTCTATAGAAAGTATTTAATCGTACTAATGGTGGCTTCATAATTATAATTATTGTGAATTAGTAATGATTTTAATTTTAATTAACACATAACACATATACTAAAATTCGCCATAAAATAAATGTTATGATCTTTTTGTAATGCTTTATACAAAAACACATTAGGCAATAAGATTTAATTTATAAAGTTACTTTTATATTAATTCTTCATTTTAATTATGATTAGTAATATATTGTTCTAGAGTGCGTTTATAAAGATTAAACAAAAAATATATTATTGCTTCTGTATCTTCTTGGATTCAAGAGTAAAACAAATACATACATACATATTTATTTATATATATATATATATATATATAAAATACAACATAATTATTTAATTATCTAAGTATTAAAATTCTAAATGTTTTTTAAAAGTTTTTAGTTTTCTGATCTTAGATCTCTTGGTAGACTGGAAATCAACTTATTGTTATGCATTATGAAGTATATATACATATATATTTATACATTGTGTAGACATATAGATGCAGATGGTATAGTATTAAATTTGCTTTTAATTACAAGTGTTGTTTATTCTTTTGTAGGGAATTTCGTCGACTACGGAACGAGCCGAATTCTTTGTTTGCTGAAGATGTGGAATTTCACGGCCCAGACGGTCCTTTACACTATAATACTCATAAAGTGTACAATGGAAAATTAGAGGGTAAGTTATAAAATAAATCTTCAATTCTTATTATCTTGTATATATATGATTAGAATGTATATAATTATCTTTTTAAAATGTATTCCTGCGAAACTAAACGTTGACTATTACGTCTTGCAGCTTTCTAACTTATGTTTTTGCTCGCACACATTTCGCTATGTCATGTCACGAGAAAGAATGACCTTTTCTTGTCAGATTTACTATCAATAAACAAAAATAACTAATATTACTCTTACAATCTTTGGTACAGATATCTGATTTTATCTTTCATGTCATGATTAGTTGGATTTTTGAAAAGGACATATGTATAACCAGTACAGTATGATCTCAGTAATTACGATTATATCTACAATTTTCATCTCTACATATGCTCAGATTTATTTATTGCTAAATTTAAAAACGTATAAAGCCATTTAAGATGATTCAAATAACATTCGAATTGTTATGAACGTTTTTTTTTGTAAAATTCAGCCAGACTGCCTTTTAATTGAATTTAAAAAAATATAGCTAAAAAGTCTTCTATTAGACATAGGTACATCTAGAATGTAAATATTTTTGCGTTTGTTGTTTATACCAAAATTTTATATTATGACAAATGTTCTTTAAGAGTGGATTAATATTGGTTTTATTTAATATCAGGCTAAGTGTTGGATTTATTTGGTATTGTGATGATATCATACTTTTTAGTACCATTTCTCTAAAGTATCCTCTGATGTAAGAAATAAGGGAACGAAGAGGTCTTAAATAAACCCATGTAAAAAATTCATGAAACTTTTATTGATGTATCGCCCGATCGGTAAAAGCTCAGTTTATATATATATATATATATATATATATATATACTGATCAAAATCATCTTTATGCCTTTCGAGTCTTTTTTTTCTAAAAAAATATTTATTTAATTTTTTACATTCAAATTGATGTTCTATTTCCATATCCCAGCAAAAGAAATACTTAAAAAAAATTATGAATAAAATATGAATAATTTAAAAAATATATATATATATATATATATATATATATATATATTAGGGTATCAAAATATCCTTAATATGAATTTTTTCGAATTTTCTTGCTCCCAAGGGCTCAAATGGTTCTAAATTGATAAAAAACAATTCTCTGAAAGCTTTAGCTCTTAATATTAACTTTTAGATAGTGCGCAATCCAATCAAACTTTGTATGGAAATAGCATGGAAAAAATTTTGAAAATAGAAAAAAAAAATTTAGATATAACTTAGCGACAAATGAATTGAAAGTGAAAATATGTGTCATTTTTTATTTATTGAATTAATTTTAGTATATAATTTTTTTGTCAACGTTCTTTTACACAAGGCCTCAAACGACATGTTTCTTCACTTGTTTTTTTTTCAACCAACAATATATTATTAAATTACATATTCCAAAACCGATCCGTTAATAAAATTATCGTTTTATCCATGTTTGCATTCAAATATCCCATCCCAGCATTCATTTTAAAACTCGAAGATATGTAGAAATTGTCGTGACAAACAAATTCCAGTGTATTTATTTTAAAATAACAATTTTTCCGCAATTCTTTCTCCACATTATGATCCAATAGAATATATAACAGTTAGGTTCTCACATGCTTCATTCTCAATTCTAATAATTAAGTAATTATAATAATAATATGGCTGTGAAAAAATACGCGTTTGCCCACGCATATAAATGGCATTAAGAATATTACCGGGACTCTGTACCTGGTATACAACGAGTTCAAGATAGAGACAACTATAAATATAAATATATATATATATATATATATATATATATATATACATGTATGCAAGTGAATAGATAGGATATACAATATAAGTTTTAAATGATCTGCACGTGCATACTGACTATCATTCTTATTCGTGAGCTTTTGTCCATGAACGATTACTGGACTCTACATTCTCATATTACTTCACTGACAGTAATGATTGTATCTAAGCTTTTATAGAAAATGTCACATAAATAATTTGTAAACTAGTCATGCATGAAAGAAATTGCTGGAACTTCCCATAAGGTGATTCAAAATTTTTGAAAGGTTCAAAATTCTTTGGAAAAAAAATGATTCAGGAATTTTGCAAATCTGGTACAAATAAAAACAAAATTTATACGTTTTATTAAAATCTCCATTAAATATCTGATAATTTGATGTGCATATGTCTAATCATCAATTTTGACACCAAATGGCATTTTTTTTCTTGGAGAAATCGCTAGACCTGCCTTCCCAAAAATTTATTCAATTCACTTTGTCAATACAAGTGGAATGTTTTTTGAATCATTCAAATCGGGCGCTCCGTTCTCTCAAAAACTGCTTTTTGTTTCTTCCAAAATGGCTGGATCTTCCATTGCAAAAAACTGGTCAGGACGTCTCCCGTCAATATTATTTGAATTATTTAAATTAGTTGATCCGTGCTCCCGAAATCATGAATAAAAATACATCCAAAGAGACTCTGCTGGCGAGAAAATTAAATAAAGACATAGATGATAGGAAAAAAATAATATTGATCTAGAATATAAAGAGATCAATATCAGTAAAAGATTCTTCGAAATGGCTGAACCTGAAATGGCCAAAAACTTGTCAGCAAGTCTCTCGTCAATATGAGTCAAATAGTTTTTGAATCATTCAAATTGATCCGTGCTCCCGAAATTGTGGATGAAAACATATCCAAAGAGACTTTAATGTCGAGAAAATTAAATATAGACTTAAGAGATAGGAAAAAAATTGACCAAGAATTTAAAAAAATGCTCCGTTCTCTCAAAAACTGCTATTTTTGCTCATAGGAAATGGCTGGACCAGCCATTGAAAAAAACTGATCAGCACGTCTCCTGTCAATACGAATCGAATGTTTTTTTAATTAAAATTGGTTGAATCGTGCTCCCGAAATTGTGGATAAAAATACATCCAAAGAGACTCTACTGACGAGGAAATTAAATATAGACTTAAAAGTAGACAAAAAATTGATCTAGAATATAAAAAAGACGCTTTGTTCTCTCAAACACTGCTATTTTTGCTTCCTCCAAAATGGCTGGACCTGACATTGCAAAAAACTGATTAGCAAGTCTGTCGTCAATCTGAGTCAAATGTTTTTGGAATTATCCAAATCGGTTCATCTGTGCTCCTGAAATCGTGGATGAAAATGCATCCAAAGGGACTCTACTGGCGAAAAAATTAAGGACTTAGAAAATAGATAAAAAAGATTTTGATGTAGAATATAAAAAGGACGCTTTGTTCTCTCAAAAACTGCTATTTTTGCTTTCTCCCAACATGGCTGGACCTGCCATTGCCAAAAACTGGTCAGCACGTCTCGTGTAAATATGAATCGAATTTTTTTTGAATTCAAATTGATTGATCCGTGCTCCCGAAATTGTGGATGAAAATACATCCAAAGAGACTCTACTGGGGTAAAATTTAATATAGACATGGAAGATGAAAGGACTCTACTGACAAGGAAACTGATTCTCGAAATGATAATAAAAAAAGGACTCTACTGACGAGCAAACTTAATTTTGATCTAAAGTGTAGAGAAGGTTTCAACTAACAAGCAAATTAAATATAGTCTTAAAAGATGTGCAAGAGACTCTACTGACAAGTCAACTGATTTTCGATACGAATAGTAGAAGTCTACAGAATATTAAAGAGCACCTCAAAATATTAAAAATTAACTCTACTAACAAACTACCATAATTTCGATATGAACAGGAACTAACGAGCACATTATTTGTTTTCGTTTTATTTGGAAAAATGATTTGAAATATATTAACAATACTTACAATTACAATTATTACAATCCAACAACAGTCATTGCAAGTTAAATTTCAAAATTATACCTACAAATTACTTTTAAAACACAGTTAATCATACATGCCATATAGTCAATAATAAATCAGTAAATTATTATTATTAGAAAATGCCTTGAAACAGATATGTGTATCGCAGATTAGTAAAACGTCTAATATAATATATTGCTTTTTTGAACTAAATATAACTATTAGAAAATCACATTAATTGTATCAATTACACCAATCAATTTTATCATTTCTTATGACTGAATGATATTTATGATTGTAAGCAATTACATATTGCTATCGTATATGTCATGTTTTGGAAATAGGATATTGGTGATGTAGGAATGTTCCGATAAACCTTGATATATATTAGAGAACAGATTTATGTAATATTGCAGGAGCAATATACAGTAATATGTATTAGATAAGATTTTGTTTGACAAACGTTGATGTGGAGAATTTGCTATTGCATTTGTACAATCTTGACACGAGTCGAGTCTTGCGATTCCCATCAGAAATAAATGAATAAATCAATGTAGGAATTAGGATTTGGATTTGTGAATTGGACTTCACATTTCACCTTCCATCAATTTTGATAATATTACTATTAAAATCTGGTTTATCATTTACCTTTCCAGCTCTCCTACTAAATCCTTCATTTAACGGTTGCAACTGAGAATTTCTAGTGGGAGTTGCTAATTTTTACTAATTTGTGCTTGCGAGCAAATACGTTATTGATCAGTAGTACCCAATATGCAAATTATTCTGTATTATATGTTATTTGACACAAATTTATTCATGAATCACACATATTTTACGTGCTTCATGCAATATTCCGAGGATATACTCTATGGCTGAATAATATTTGCAGAATAGATGTTTCGCGAAATATATATAGTCGCGGTGCAGATATAATTAAATAATTTGTATTGGATTCTGATTGGAAATAGTAGTATAGTAGGAATATGTAGTTATTTGCAGAGCTTTGAATTTATTTACTGTTGATATTGTATGATTGGAAAAATATTTTATTAGTTTTGATAACACACAATTTGTGCTGAATTCAGTACAATATGGTGCAATATTTTTTTATCTACTTGATTTAGTTAGTATCAATTTGTCTGCAATTCAAAACATTAAGTTATTTTTTATTTATAAAATATTTCAATGAAATATTTTTTATAGTACTTTAAAACTTTATT